CTTCACTGTGTATACGAAACCTATAAGTCCCTAAAAATAATCCTACTTACAGCTTTTAAAAGATACAGCTTAGGCATACAATTTCTATTCTGCATTAAGATAATATTCATTTATCGCCACAGAATATGTTAAATTAGTGCTGCTGAAGTTCGCTTTCGAAGCGTCTCCTCCAGGCATTCCACAGCTCTCAAGTGCCATTTTGGATCACGGAACATGGCTGGGCGCGGGACAGGTCGTCTGCGAGCTTGGACGGACCACGTGACCACCTCCCCTCCCCCTCACTCCCGTCCCCTTCCCCAGCAGGGCGTCCGATCTAACCGCGCCCCAGGCAGTCGGCTCGGTCCGACCCTCACTGATCGAGCCACGGCCCGGTGCCGCCTGAGTTTGTGCCGGGTGCAAAACTGGAGCAGTAACTAGCGCCGGAACTAGTAATCAGCACGACCATCGTCAGATGGCAGGAGTGAATGGAATAAGCGGTTCCAGGTTTCAGAAGGAATGGGGCAGGAAAAAGCGCTGAAAACAATGTTTTGCTGATATAGCCATAAAAAGTTCACTGAATTAGGAGAGCAGCACATCAGTTTAAAGCCCTTCAGATGGTGGTTTCAATCAGCACACAATCATTTCTCAATTCGTCTCCAACGGTGTCACAGGCCAAGAATACGCTGAAATACTAGTGTGTACAGAAGCAACTGCGGGTCCCTGTACAACAGGAGCTGGCAAGGCTCCTGCATTGGTCTATCCGTCATGAGTGACACACCGGGGTAATGTGTCACGTTAGGGCAGAGCTGTGTTCTATGCCGGGTCTGGATTCGGGTCTTGATCGGCATCGGTGGGCACGGCCGCCCTGGCCGGACTGCCGGCGTCGCTTATGCTCGAAGGATTGGATAAATGGCGCTTGATTTATATGAGTAGGTACTCCGGCTAATGTCTCTACTCATGTCTCACTTCGTCACACTGTCAGGGTGGCCACTCTGTCATTCCCAGACATGTTATGTTTTCTTTCGACCCGCTAATCTAAGTTACACCTGGCGTCGATTCTGTTGCCCCAGCATCTGACATCAACGTATCTGAATGATGACATTGGTGAAGCATATGCTCGTCAAAGCCACCCGCAAACTTGGGCCGATGACTGTCGGGTCTCCTCCATATTCTGTCCTTGTGCATACTGCATTGCCAGCCACTGCTGTACGTATATCGTGAATTTTCGATTCTCGGGAAGTTGCCGTTTCGCCGTTGGAATAAAGTTGCGCGGCAGCATATTGGGGGTGCGAGCCACCGTCAAAAACTAACGTAAATTGTCAACAGCAACGCAAAGAGGTGTGTTATTGCTCAGAGTTTGCTTTTTGAAGAATTAACAAGTGATACGGCACGTGAAGAAGGCAGCTGTATTCTTGAAACGGATTGTTTCGAGGCAACTACCCGGAATCATTCATTCTTTTCTGAGCTCTGCTTGAGTTATTTTCTATACCATCGACACAGACCACCGTGGCAGACGCACCGATGCTGCACTGAAACTTTCCGCCCCGAAAACATGGGATAGCTCACCCCGATCGTGTGCAATAAGACCACGCACTTATAACTTCCCACCGCCCAGCCGGCCGCCCGGCAGATGTCGTGGCGCGCGGTGCCGATAAGGCGCTGCCGCCGCCGTGCGGCGTCGAACTCTCGCCCTTATTGACACCGGCCGGTCGGCGGGCGTAACATGGTCCTCTTTAAGCCGTTTGAGGAGCCCCTAACAGTTAATACTTTTCAGTAAAAAGGGCATCATTGGTCTCAGAAAAGAATACCGCACCACATGAGCCATGAGCCCATATACTTTTCCAAAATTCGTTTTTTTTTTAACAACCCTAGTGTAGAGGCTATCACCAGTCAGTCTGTGATACGTTATGACGTCACAGCTAAGCCCCGCCTCTGTGGTCTTGGCCTGCGGCGGTTTCGGGCCGGCGCGCGGTCACTCGCGCTGTGACGGGGAGCGGGGAAGGTCGAGCGGTGCCGAAAGCCGGCGGAGTTGTGCGTAACGTCTTATCTGACAGTGCCCAAAGAGCGACATGATGACGACATGATGACAGCAATGCTCAATACGCATTACTTGTACAATGCTGATATGTTCGCTGATATTTGTTTTATTTTTTTATAAGTTGCAAATGACGGGCAGGTGGCACATAACTGACAAGGTTAGAAAATATTCACCTGTATTAAAAGCCTATGGCGTTGCAGATAATGCGATAATGGGATGTCGGATGTCATCAAGTAGCTCCTGAATTGTACATCGCTCTGCACCCATCGACCAGCGCAATAATTAGCCAATTGCCTTCGCTTCACATCATAAGGCTCGCTCGTATTTCACCAAACAGATATCCTACATCGAAAATCGTATTTGTTAGGAATCGTTAACGTTTTTTCGAAGCATGTGTGAGTAGTAGAATGAGGAGTGATGGTCCTCTTGATCCCATATACCTACAAGAGTCAACAAGAGCCTAACATTTACTTGACGGTCTGCTGCAATTGATTCATAGCACGTGAAACGTCAGCGAAATTCATAGTCCTTTACAGATGGCAGGGGTGTCGTTTGTACAGAGGTCGTTGATGGGCACGGGTCAATGCCGCAGTCGTGGGCGGAGCCTGTCATATGACGTATGAAAGCCTCTATCCAGGATGGAAAAACAGTTAACATTACGAGTCAATGACAAGTGCCACAAATATTTAAGTGACAACAAAATGTATGGGAAGAAAAGTTTCGGCAGGTCTTGAAACGGCTATTTCCTAAATATGGTTGAAATTATTCCACGCATTTTAAAATAATCGCGAAAAATTAGGGTCTCAAGGCGTCTGGCGTTAACAGTAGTATCCTCTAGGAGTCTCAAAACTTGTATATCTCGGATTTCTCCTAGAGGTCACATGAGGTCAGGCCGATCGCGTGACGTCACCATTACAAGTCAATGGGGAAAATATGGAAACTGTAATTTTGACGCCGAGAATGATCTAAACCTAGCTCAAGCACATGGAATCGCAATTTCATGCAATTCTTGCAATGTCCAATGCTTCACTTTTGCATCTTTAACCTAGCGTGACGTCATTCATGACGTCACAAAGGTCACAAGTTTTTTCGTCAATAACTCCTGACAAAAATGAACTGGCAAGTCGGAAAAGTCGCCAATAGACTCGGGAAGACCTACCGAATCGAATGATATACGATATGACCTCCTCCGACCAAGTTCGTGACCTGAGTGCCTCTGACCTGGCTTTGACTCGATGTGAGCACCTTATGTTGACCCCACCCAAACAAAAGTGTACCATTTTGACGCACCGGAGCATGACAAACATGATGGTACTAAAATCGCGACTCTGCGCCGTTTTTTTTTTCGGCAAAGTTATTTTTCAAAACCCAAAATCGTATTTTGGCCCTCGGGGCACTTGACCTGACCCTCAGAGGCCACCAGTTGACCTGAGACTTTTTAACCGTGCATCAATCGCTGCGTCCCCGGTCCCGTAACGGCACACATGCTTGTTTTTCCCGCGAGGCTAGCTCAATTAGGGCGAGGGAGTCGTACCCACTCTCGCGGCGGGGGTGTAGGTATGTAAAAAAAAAAAAACTAAGAAGTCTGGTGATGATTGATGCAAGATTCTTACAGATAATGGTAGATGAAGGTAGGGCATCAGTTATTAAAGATAAGTGAAACAAATTTGCAGCCCTCAGTAGCATTGATTTATGCATTAAGAGTTATAAAACCATAGGCGGCGGAACGGGGAGGGCACCGGGGCACCGTGCCCCCTATAATTTTGGCATTTAAACTTTAGCCCTATGGGCGTTGCATGGAAAGAATCGGACCGAAAGTCGGCAGTGCCCCCTGTTGCGACTAGCCGACAATTTATCCGTGTTTTTATTTAGTGGTCCGTCATCTCAAGCCGGAGGTATTTCATCTGGAAAGCCGCGAGAAAATATGTGTTCAGCGATATTTAGTTGCAGTGAGAACGAGCGAATGTAAATCATGTAAAGGAAGAACGGCACTGATTTACCTGTTTGCATATACGTGAAATGCCATAGAATGAGTTAAGTGGTAAATGTGGCTTAATTTTGCTCGGAACAGTTTAAAACCTATTCAATCATGTAAACTAAAGCTGCAATGATCATGTAGTCGCTGTTGAACCGGCTCTGATGCTTTGGTGTTGAATGGAGTTAATAGAAACCGTCATTTTAACCCACATTTTTTCCCGAATGTCGGAACAGTTTTAAACTCCGTGCACTGTGCATTGTGCAATCAATTGGAAGACAGATACAAGACATGGACGAGACGAAAACGTTGAAATCCGTGCGTGGTAGAAGGCTGTGCAAGCTAACAAGAGTAAGGAGACGTGCATTGATTCTCATAGATAGTAAAGGCAGCCGAACTCAACTCGCCGAGACGCTCAAAGAACTTGATGTGGCTTTGGAAGAAATCGAAGAAGCAAACGGCAAGTATGTGGCCAGCCTCAAGGAGGAAGGCGAATTGCAGGCTGCCGAACTCTATATGAAGGATGTAAGAGAGCAGCATGAGGCTGCTGTGGTCCGCATTCAGGAGCACCTGGCAGGTAGGAAGGACGAAGCGCCTTCAGTGACTGCAGAGAGTCGCGTCTCATCTAAGGCTACTGACCCCGGCAGGGCGCGAATAACAGCACAGGTGAGGCAGCTGGAGCTCCAACAGCTTCGGCGACGACTGGAGCTGGAGAAGCAAGAACAGGATATGAGGAGAAGACGCCAGCTTCAGGAGGCTGAAGATGCGGAAGCATCTGCACGGCTGGAAGAGCGGCTGTTGAAGGACGCAGAGGGAGGTCTCAGCTGGGAGCGGAGGGACGACTTTGTCGGGGAGCCAGCTGTTCTGTGCCCAGTGGATTATGAGTGCCGCCCCGTGGAAGCAGAGTCAGTGTCTCAGTGTCCAGCTAATCAAGCTAGTTCAAGACCAGCCGATCCAGTGACAAGCAGCGACTCGCCTAACTCAGCTGTGCCTCGCTATCCTACGCCTGATGACAAGAGACGATGTTCTACTCCGGGTGTAGCAGAGACAGTGCCGCAGCGTCCAACTAGTCCTCCCAGACCAGCCCATTCAGTGGTAAGCAGTGATCCACCCGACCCGGTCGTGCTTTGCCGTCCCATGCCTGAGGATGCGAGACGGTACTCTACCCCGGGTGCAGCTGCTCCGGTGCAAGTTGCCCCTGTCTACCAGCCTGAGCATCTTTTCCATCGCAGCCTCCCCAGACTCACTCTGCCCACATTCGCCGGCGACACGAGCGAGTGGGTGAACTGGTTTGCTTTGTTCCGCACTTTGGTCCATGACCAGCCAGCTCTGACCCCCACGGAGAAAATGGCTCATTTGCAGGCCGCTGTCACTGGCTTGGCCCAGAGGACCATCGGAGGGATGCTGTATAGAGGGGAGCTGTATGAGGAGGCAGTTAGAGTACTAAAGGACAGATTCGGCCGAGATGATGACATCATCCACTCCAACCTCGACAGCATCTTCTCCTGTCCGGCACCTTCTCATCTCGATCCTGCCAGCCTGGAACAGTTTCAAGCCACAGTCCACTGCGCTGTAGTAGTGTTCCAGAGTCTGGGGCATGACGGTGACCTGTACAGTTATGAGAATTTGAGACGTGTGGTAGAGAAGCTACCGACTGAACTGAAGAGAGAGTGGGGTGAACATGTCTTAAACCTCGAACCAGAGAAGCCCAGCCTGCTCCATCTAGACTCTTGGCTGTGCAGACAGGTCAGGATCGCGCTGAACTTCGCGGCTGTTTCTCAACAGCATGGAGGGCGGTCAGCCGAAAAGAAGCGTGAAGCAAAGACGCAGGGAGCCAGTGGAGAACATGCTCTTCAGCGGACGGCTCTGGCGACTGAAGCACAGAACAGAGCCGGCAAGACTTGCATCTGCTGTGAAGCTGCCCATGACGTTACTGTATGCCCCGCATTCCTCAGCAAGTCAGTGGATGAGAGAGCTGCCTTTGTTGCTAGCTCAGGTGCCTGCTTCTTCTGTTTAAAGACAGGTCACGCCGTCAGAAAGTGCCGCTTTGCAAGGCGATGTGGCATCGAGGGTTGTGAAATGAGGCACCATCTGGTGTTGCACGGCAGCAGGAGGGTCGGTCTCGGTACAGAGGCCAGCCGGTCGGTGCCGAGCTCAGAGCCTGATGGCCAACGGGTGGTTGCTGCGTCGTCACTGCCTGTGGAACAGGTCACTACTCTTCTCCAGGTTGTGGAGGTCACCGTCGTCGGCCAGAACGGCAAGACCAGGAAGGTATGTGCGCTGCTAGACCCAGGATCACAAACTTCTCTCGTTGCAGAAGATGTCGTGGAAGAACTCGGACTCCAGGGGGAGCGCCAAACTTTGCGACTGAGAAATGTTGAAGGGAATGGCTCCCAGCAGCGCACGAGACGTCTGCAGTTAAATCTGCTGACTGAGGGAGAGGAAGTCTACTCTGTTTCAGTGCCAGAAGCCTTCTCAGTAAAGGAGATCAATCTTACTGTGCCGCATTATCCTGCAAAACAGTGGCGGCATGTGCATGATCTGAAGCTGCCGGACTGCCGTGGGCGCAAGGTGGAACTCCTACTCGGAGCCAACGTGATTGAGGCGGTCCTACAGCTAGAAGTGAGAACCGGCAGCCCCGGTGACCCTGTCGCGATCAGAACTGTGTTCGGTTGGACACTGACAGGCTCTGTAGCTGGACTCGTTCCCGGACAGATGCGTGATGTTATGCTGATTCATCACTCATCTGAGGAGTCCCAGTTGTGCGCAGCGATAAGCGACTGGTGGACGACTGAGTCGTTTGGGAGCATGTTTGAAGGCCAGGCGTCTTATTCTCAGAAGGACACTCGAGCCCAGACTATGCTCGATAGCACCACGAAGCTGCAAGATGGTCGCTACGAAGTAGGACTCCTCTGGAAACAAGAAGACACGAAGATGCCTGACAATCGCAAGATGGCAGAGAGGCGACTGGAGTCGCTGGAGAGGAGCCTGTCGCGGGATCCTACGAGAGCAGCAGCGTACGAAGAAGCTCTGATGGGCTATGTCGCAAAGAATCACGCTCGCAAGGTCTCCTCGGAAGAACTGTTGAAGAACAGAGACAAGAGATGGCTGCTACCGCACCATGCGGTGGTCAGCGCAAACAAGACCAAAGTGCGAGTTGTGTTCGACGCAGCGGCCCAGTTCTCTGGCGTATCTCTCAACGATGTCTTGTTAACCGGCCCAGACCTCCTCCGGAACTTGGTTGGTGTCCTGTTGCGCTTCAGGGAGGAACGAGTAGCTCTAGTCGCAGACATAGAACAGATGTTCCACCAAGTTCGAGTGGTTGAAGAGGACCAGCCGGCTCTGAGTTTCCTCTGGCGAAACCTGGACCAAAGCAAGCCTCCTGATGTCTACCAGATGACGGTCGTGATTTTTGGAGCAAAATGTAGCCCGACCTTGGCAAATCACGCTCTTCTGAGAACAGCTGCTGATCACGAAACGGATTTGCCTGAGTCAAAGGCTGCTGCTGACGCCGTGAGAAACAATTTTTATATGGATGATCTGCTGACATCGGTGAAAGACGTCTCGACAGCAAAGACTCTGCAGTCGGAGGTGACTAAGCTGGTCGCTAAGGGTGGATTCCGATTAGCGAAGTGGTGCAGCAACAGTGAAGAGGTGCTGCGAGAGATTCCAAGTGAAGATCGAGGTGCTGCAAGTCTTGACATCGGCTCTCTCGGCCAGAGCACCCAGCGTGCTCTTGGTTGTGTCTGGAATCCAGCAAGTGATGTCATGGCAGTCCAAGTGTCTGCTGCAGATGTTCCGGCGACAAAACGAGGGGTGCTGCGCAAGTTGTCGATGGTCTTCGACCCGCTGGGCATCGTGACTCCCTTTGTCTTGAGAGCAAAGCTTCTTGTCCAGCACCTATGGAAGCTGCAACTGGACTGGGACCAGGAACTGAGTGGAGAAGAGTTGAACGCTTGGCAGGCATGGTTGATGGAAATTCCTCACCTCGAAGATATCCAGATATCCCGATGTTACAAAGCCAGCTTTGCGCAGGATAGTCAAGTGATGCGCCGGGAACTCCACATCTTCTGCGATGCGTCTGAGCGAGCCTTTGGAGCCGTGGCATACCTCAGAATGTCGTGTACTGATGGCAAGCACATCACCTCCTTCCTCATGTCCCGGACTCGGCTGGCGCCCTTGAAGCAACTAACTATAGTTCGGCTCGAGCTACAAGCGGCCGTGCTGGGGGTGCGGCTCGCCAACTTCATCACACGGGAGCTGGCTACTGGTGTTGATGAAACTCTACTATGGACAGACAGTACCGTCGTACTTCGGTTTCTGAAAAATGAAAGCCGACGTTTTCATACTTTCGTCGCCAACCGGATCTCAGAGATTCATGAGTCCTCTGAAACAAGTCAGTGGCGGCATGTGCCGGGTGAGATAAATCCCGCAGACGTGTGCTCTCGTGGCCTGTCTGGCTCACAGCTCAAAACGTGCACCCTGTGGTGGTCGGGACCAGCATTCCTGACTGAAGATCGCAAGAGATGGCCTTCTGAGGAAGAAGTCGCGGCCACCTTGACCGCAGCAGATGAGGAGGTGAAGGCTCCACGTGAAGTCTTCTTTGCGGCGCACCACAGCGATGGACCATTGCTAGACCCAGCTCGACACTCATCGTGGGTGAAGTACAAGCGTACCGTGGCATGGGTTCTTCGCTTCACCAAGAACGCCAAACAAAGTAAGGGAAGCGGCATGCGAGTCAGTGGGCCTTTAACCCGCGCGGGGCTGGGGTCTCCAGCCGAACGCGCGGGGCTGGGGGGGGTAAATTTTACCCCCCCCCCCCTGTTATCTCCCGAACTAATGGTCCGATTTGGAAAATACAAACGCCAATCGAAAGCTCTCATCACGAACTACTAAAAACATGTACTTAATTTAAAGTTTGAGGTCAAGGTCAAGGTCAGGTCAAGGGTACAAATTGCAAGTTTCTACAGTATGGGCCTTGCACCGTAGTTGCCGAAGAATGGAGTCATGGACTGAGACTGATCGCCCAAAACGTGTTCTTAGGCTACCAAGACAATATTCGTTGCATACAATATCATTCAGAGGTCAAGGTCAAGGTCAGGTCAGGTCAGGTCAGGTCACCAAAAAACAAAATATAGAAAAGGGCATGTGCGACACATGTATTATGGGTCATTTTACTCATAGAATTCAATAGGCACACTCAATAAGTGATATGGACCACCTCTGGATGAATTTCAGGTCGAGGGCAGGTCAAGGTCAGGTCAAGTGAGGTCAAATTTTGAAGTTGGTTGTTAAGGCCTAAAAAGGTGTCTGTCTGATGCAGTTTTTCACGGCAAATCGAATGGTGCTATTTTTATTTCCGTCCGAGGTCTAGAACGTCCAAAAAAGTCATTTTTCAAAAAATTTGTGTGTCGTGACGTCATAAAATTTTGAATAACTCCCACATTTTTGAACCGATTCTTCTAAAATTTGGTATGCAGGTGCACATAGACCACTTCTCTGACATATATTCCGGTTTTTTCGATAGACTCAAAAGTTTGGATTTTATAATGATTTTCCCAAAAGTCAGTTTTTTGAAAAAATTTAGGCCAAAATCCAAAATTTTCAAAAAACCGAGATAGCCATTTGATAGACAAAGTAAAATTACGTATAACCTTTTTTGTTACGTCTTGATTCCTTTAAAAATGAAGATGTTAGCGGCGTTTGAACTTTTGCCGTTTTTGAGGCGAAAATGGCGAACATGACGTCACTAAAACGTCAATTTCTCAAAAAAATTTCCAACGGATTTCGCTCAAATATTCAGGGAACATGTCAAATTGATGTAAGAAAAGGTACTGAAAGTTTGGCGGCGCTGCGCGCCGCCGTTTTTGAGATATCGCAAAAATTCGCGAGGGGGTAAAATTTACCCCCCCCCCAGCCCCGCGCGGGTTAACTGCCGAAGAACTCAAATCCGCCGAGATGTTTGTTCTGAAAGAAGCTCAGAAGTCCGCATATCCCGCCGAACTGCAAGCTGCTGCTAGCAAATCTAGACTGCCGACAGAAAGCATCTTACATCAGCTCTCCCCGTACGTAGACGAACAAGGCCTGCTGAGAGCCCGAGGGCGGCTTCGTAACGCGCCGGTGCCAGAAACCTGTCGCCATCCAGTCCTGCTTGGTAAGGACGAAGACATCATCCGACTAATTGTGACTGATGTACACCAGCGCGTCATGCACTCTGGTCTGGAACACACACTCAGTGAGTTGAGACTCCAATACTGGATACCGAAGGCGAGATCAACTGTGCGGAAGATGCTACACCGATGCGCATTCTGCAGAAACAGAAGAGCGCAGCCTCAGACGCCAATGATGGCAGACCTGCCGGCGAGTCGATTCGACATGACGAAGCCGTTTGCATGCGTCGGACTCGACTTCTGTGGGCCGCTGACGGTTCGCAAGTTTCGTAAGACTGAGAAACGATACATCCTGCTGATCACGTGCCTCGCGACTCGGGCCTTGCATCTGGAACTCGTCAGCTCCATGGACACAGACGGCTTTCTCATGGCGTTTAGGCGCTTCGTCGCCCGCCGCGGACGGCCACGTGTCGTCTGGTCTGATAACGGATCCAACCTAGTGGCAGGAGAGAAGGAGCTCTGAGCTCCTTCTCCAGTGGCGGATCCTCCAGTGGCGGATCCAGGGGGGGCTGCGGGGGCTGGCAGCCCCCACCCAAGGAAAACTGGCGCCACTGCGCCGAAGGCGCAGTGGCGCCAATTTTCAATTCGCAACTCATCGGAGTGCCGCATACTAGGACTAGGATGCAAAAATCAGTCGAATAACGTCGTTTCAGTACGCTCCGCACCGATATTTCCAATCGTGTGGTGTCACTGTACATACTGATCCTGGGCGCCTCTTGTCAGGGCCACTGGGCGCCAATATTTCAGCGCCAATACGATGCGACTATGGCGCCCATCCGGGGCGTGGCGCCCAATTATGACCTGCAGCCCCTCCCCAGTGAAAATCCTGGATCCGCCACTGGGAGCTCAAGGTCTGTTTGGATGAATGGAACCAGGAGAAGATCGTCGATGAACTCAGCCAAAGACAGATTGACTGGCGGTTCAACCCACCTAACGCAAGCCACAAGGGAGGAGTGTGGGAGCGACTACTATCCTCGGTCAAGCGTGCTCTGCGGGTCGTGCTCGGAAACCAGTGCGTCTCAGAAGAAGTGTTGTGTACTGCACTGACGGAGATTGAGTTTGTACTCAATAGCCGTCCGCTGACCTATGTCAGCACGGACATTGGTGACCCGGAGCCCCTCACTCCGAACCACTTCGTCTTGGGCTACCCGGAGGCCGCCTTCCCGCCTGGCATCTTCGCTGAAAGTGATGTCCTCGGCCGTGGAAAGTGGCGGCAGTCCCAAGCACTCGCCGATCAGCTATGGCGAAGGTGGCAGAAAGAATACCTACCACTGCTGATTCAACGGAAGAAGTGGGTGCGTGAAACCCGAGATCTACAAGTTGGTGATGTCGTCCTCATGGTGGATCAAGAGTCGCCCAGAGGTTACTGGCCGCTGGCGAGGATCACAGAAGTAACCACAAGCGATGATGGTCGAGTGCGCTCAGTGTCGCTGCAGACGGCAAGAGGATCCGTCTACCGTCGTCCGGCAAACAAAGTTTGCTTCTTGGAAAGTTGTGAGAGATCCCAGTGAAGCGGGAGTGGAGCTGAGCTGAAAGCTTGAGCGCTCGGGCAGTAAGTTGGAGGATGTGCATGCTGCAAATCAATGGACTAAAGGGCAGTGTTCGTGTCATGTCATATAGGCCAGTAGTCGCACGTATTATTGGTGTTCTACCCAGTAGAACACTGGGGGGAGTGTTGCGACTAGCCGACAATTTATCCGTGTTTTTATTTAGTGGTCCGTCATCTCAAGCCGGAGGTATTTCATCTGGAAAGCCGCGAGAAAATATGTGTTCAGCGATATTTAGTTGCAGTGAGAACGAGCGAATGTAAATCATGTAAAGGAAGAACGGCACTGATTTACCTGTTTGCATATACGTGAAATGCCATAGAATGAGTTAAGTGGTAAATGTGGCTTAATTTTGCTCGGAACAGTTTAAAACCTATTCAATCATGTAAACTAAAGCTGCAATGATCATGTAGTCGCTGTTGAACCGGCTCTGATGCTTTGGTGTTGAATGGAGTTAATAGAAACCGTCATTTTAACCCACATTTTTTCCCGAATGTCGGAACACCCCCCCCCCCCTATTGAAGGTGTTCCGCCGCTACTGTATAGAACAACTGTAAGCTGCAGGCTCAGCTCTTCAGTTTCTACCTATGCCTGCAAACACAATAAAATCAATGGAAGAGTAATAATAGATTAATTGCATTTTATTGATGCTATTCAAGTATCAATGGTAACTATGTCACCGATGATTCAATATTATTTGCACGGTATCATTTACCACCATGCGTCTAAATATTTAGTATCTAAAATAATGCAGTAAAATAAGCTGCGCCACGTCTGTCGACAAAATCTGGTGCCAACTCAAGGTCACACGGAAAATGTGGTCACATGACCAATGTCCGGCAGCTGGGATTTATAATATAGATTATTTCACAATTATTTATATCACGCGAATTTGCTTGGTACATCCAATCCGGCTCGACTTTCCGGTTTTCCGGTTATAGCGACTTTTTGGACATCTAGTGACAATTTCAACATTTTGGTGCCGGTCCGGCAGACGGAATTTTTCCGGACCGAAAAACCGGTGTGAACCCGGCTTAACAAATCGTAGATCGATGCCTCCTTTTTTGGCGAAGTTGTAGCGAAAAAGCTAGTCAAAACTGATGAAGTCAATTTTTTAACTAAATTCTTAACAATTCTAGAGCACGTAGCGCAAAACAAAGACCACCATTAGACTCCCCGGGACGAGCTGCATCGAATCGATACCCATTTTATGCAAAAATATAAAATAAGAAATTTGACCTAATTTGACCTGATCTTTACCTGATATTCACCAGAACATAACCCTTATTGGCCCCAAGGGTTGCCTGACCCGCATAATCGCATTTGTCATGTAAAATGGACCAGAAAACATCCATCAGATAATAGTTATCTTCATATTGTGACCCTCAGTGACCTGACCTCTGTGACCTGACCTGGTATCAGTGACCCCAAATAGCAAGATATGTGTTTGACGAACAATTCCCCATCGATAATTGTCATTCATCGATTGTCATTCATCGATTCCTTATCGATGAATGACATGCATTCTACTCGATTTTACAACACATTTCTTGAAATGCCTGTAAACGGTGAAAATTCGTCATTTGACCTGAACTGTGACGTCATCAGTTTGACCGAGGTCAATGAAATTAAGCCAAAAGGTATTTCTGCGTTGGGGCCATCCAACACCGTTTGCTGCTTGTCGTTATTTTGCGTGATCTCGAGATCTTAAGGGGGGGCCAAATGCTCCCCCCCCCCCAATGGGACCGATGCTCGGGAGACCCTAACGGGGCGCGGGTTAAATGACAGAACTGTTCCCAAGAAATAACATTACAGTCTTCTCCCGGCCTCGGCTAAAACTTTGGACGACTACCTATGAATCGGCAGTGGCACGCTGCCGGCTCACCCGCCCGCTGGCTACGGGTGGCCTTGACCGTTCAGTGCCGATTGGCCAACGGCCGAGGTCGTGCGCTGCACACTGGGCCGATCGCCAGGTCTAGCACGACATGGGTAAAAAAAAAAAATGGAGCTTTGTGGATGTGCAATGAAACCTATACCAATTTGTTCAAAAATGATCATACTACATTGCTGTGGTCTTTGTTTTCCAACACAATTGCTATTTCATGGCGAAAACTCAGCTTAAACACGAAATTCGGAATCGTTTGGACCGAACTCGTCCCCCGCACTCTTCGACAACGTATCTTTGATCCACGAAAACAATCACAATTTGAGGAGGAATTCCACATTTATATACATCAAACGATAGCTCCGGGTCTGCAGAACACACATAACCACATGAGAATGGCGAACTCTTACTTGGTTATGATGTATTGGCACCGCAAAGATTTAAAGACGAAAATATAATTTCACATAATTGATGTCACACACAAATAGACTTTTAAAAAAAGTACCGCAGAGTGCCGCTTCGAAAATCTCGCTACATGTCAATGATTCATTGCACTACAAGATCCAACAGTCATTTTTTGCGACTTTTTGCGACTTTGGATGTAGCAGCCAAACATCAACCCGCGCCGGACCGGCGCGGTGCTTGGCGTCAAACGCGCCGGGCCGGGAGGTGTTGATTGAACACTCCCCTTCTAACTCGGCTCTTGGGCCACATAGCGACACGTAGTAAGTGGCATTCGAAAGAGCGCCCGAAATTCCAGATGGAGTAATTAGTCATTTTTAGGTCAGGTCAAAGGTCACGTCACCACAGGTCATCGAAGGTAAAATGTTGCATATATCAAAATTTCTCGAAAACCGGCCCTTACCTCGGGGACCAATAGAGCTACATCGTCGCAGAAAAGTGCATTCAATTGCTCTTTTAGCGGTCTTTCTGAAATAAGCCCTCAGATTTGGCTTAACCCTCGCCCCTTGTGGTGTTTTTCCAGCCGCGAACGTATAGAAGGGGTCCGTTGGACCCCCCCCCCCCCCCGCCGTTTCGCCCCTGATCGAGCTAGAGCTTCGCGGAAAAGACGAGCGTGTTACCCGTGACAAGAGGAAGCTGATGATACCCAATTGTAAGGTCCTAGGTCATCGGTTGACCTTCCAGGTCAGGTCAATGACTCAAAAGTCGGGAAAATCGGGACCTGTTAGAACATCGTAAAGGGTGGCTGCTATGGGTTTTTTGGGTGCTGATCACGAATATAATGGTATTTACGATCATAGATGATGTCTTCATACATTTAGGCCAGGTCGGGTCAGGTCAGGTCAGTTCAACCAGCAAGGGTTTTGCCGGGTATTTGCAGTAGGTGGTAACCGCCTCTGACAGCTTTGTAACATGTTACGAAGGCACCAAAGCTACATAGTAAATGTTCAAATGGTTGCTAGATTCGAATTCAGCTCCAAAAACTAGCCTAGAAACATGTAAAACTCGAAAAAGTGAACCAAGGTCATCAAAGGTCAATGACCTTACCTGACCTTCTGGTGACCTTGACACCCACCCTAATGCATGGGAGCAACATAATATCCCATGTTTGAACGCCTTAAACCAAGAAAAGACTGCAAACCCGCGGCTAATGCGAGCCGACATACGCTGAATCGCGATTTCGGCCAAACATGGTCTCGAAAGAAGGTCACAGGTCAAAGATCATTAAGGTCAGGGTCATGAAATTTTCAGGTTAGCTGTAAAAGTAGTTATCGCGAGGGTACTGAAAGTTTCGTTGCGATCGGCCGCTTTTTACGCGAATTACTCGCGAAAAACCAAGGGTTCCGTTCGAAGATTCAGGCCCTGTCGCGCTAGAATGGGATATCGGCCCACTGTGCGCTGGTCAGCACGCAGAGGACGGGACGCGGTACTGCACGCTGTGAGTGACCTCTGACCTTTCCCCGTCCCATGACCGCATGCCGTGTCGCCGGCCCAGACGATAGAAACCGGCTTTAGCCTCTACGCAGGTTGCCACTCTAACCCCTCCCTCCCCACTTTACTATGTGCCGTAGTACGCGCTCGCGAGTAACTCAAACTGGGCGGAGCAAATGGTCACCGATACAGAGGTGGAACTGGTTGCCCTCCCGCCCGCCGAGCGACCTACCGCTAAAACCCGCGAGACCTGTATGTACGAGTGGTGTAGACATAGAGGTCATAGGTGCTTCGAAAAGTTAAGACTATGCGAGTCTTTTTGTCGGTGACGTTTTAAACTTGTCCCACATTTCAGGCGTGGCATTAGCCGTTTTCACGACGGCCATACACATTTGGTGCACATTTGGTGCAGATTAGGTGCAGCTTTGGTCAAATTAGGTTCAGTGTATCTCTTAGATCAGGGGTCGGCAAATGGTGGGGCATGCCCCCTTCGGGGGTAATGGAGCCCTTTCGGTTGGGGGTAATGAGGGATTCTCAGAAAACCTATCTTTTTAGAGTTAGTGGCTCCATTGATGGAACCATCGTGACGGCCGTGGTCACGCTTTTGCGACGCCGCTTATATCTCAGCAACCACTTGACCGATTTACATGCGGTAATTTTTGTAGGGTAGTTTCATTCCTTCTACCAAGTATTGGACTATTCCCGATGCATGTGGGTGACCCCTTATGCACGTGCCACGCAGGCGCGCACACAGGATTTTTGAATGGGGGGGGGGGTGGCACGACCTTCGAACTGGGCCCCCCATGCCGAAGGGCCCCCCCCCAAAAAAATACGGCCCACGGGGTTATATTTCGGTTGGTTTGAAGCTTGAGCTTTTGTCAATGCATGGTAAAACAATTATTTCGGAACCATTGATTAAGTTCAGCGTTATGAGGAAAATCATTGTTAATACTGTATGAGTCATTTTGTATGAGTCATCGCTTTTGTATTGTATTTTTGCCATTACAGTTTACTTAAAGGATTGAGGATAAGGTCAAATGACTCATACAGTATTTCGGAACCAGCTTAATCTTCAAAACATTTAAATTTTTACGCTAGCATGTTTTTTCTCAAATGCGACTCAGAGCCGGTACATATACCTAATCATCTAATTTATTACGTAAAATATTTCATTAATAAACATTTTTGCAAGTCCCTCAGAAATCAGCCCCGGGCAGCGACTATTAACTGCCGACCGTCCCCGGGTGGCTGGAAGCAGGGGCCGGTCACTGTTTGGCCCGGATGTGTAGGAGCGGGAGCAGCACTCCTTTTTCACGTATATTCGCATATTTTTTTAGGCACATCGACATGAAATGTCATTACCTATACATTATATCTGATACGATGCGGGATCACAGACTAGGGATCCAGCTTAAAACTTATATTTAATGTTTAACCGATGAATCAAATCAACAGGACTATGTACGATGAATGTCGAACACGTACCCAGAATTTCGCCCAAGAGAGGGTCACCTGCTGGTCACCTGACCCCGGGCCCGCGAGTCAGCCGGGGGCCCGGAGTCAGCTCAGGCAAGGATGTATCCAGGACCTTTCGATAGGAGGAGAGAGGTACGGTGGGCCCAGTCTCACTGGCAGACGGGTCTCTTTAAAAACGGTCTTTGCATGAGAAAATGTGGAAAATTGGCAAGTAAAAGTATC